CCAAACGAATATGCATCCTCATTCATCCTGGGACCTCTTTGATTCAAACATTTTCTTCTGTTATAATACCTTACTACTATACTATCAGCATGTATATTTAATTTCATTAGAAAATGATTTAAAACCTTATAGATTGATTTCAGTGAAACATTTAACTGAAAAAAACTTACATTAACATCACACTCTTAAACTCTTGTTCGTTGCTGATGTCCAGAGGTTTATTTGAAGAACAAACTATGATATCAGCTTCTGTGTACCTAAGGAGGAATGTTAAGAAACAACTCTACTCAAGAAATGGTTGTCGAAACCCCATTTTGCAAAACATTGACAGAGGAATAAAGTTGTAAATCAGATTGTATTAAGTAACCAGATTGGGTAAAGTTAGAAGACAGGTTCTATTACATAATAACAAGAATTAAAGCTAGAAGACAGGTTATATTACGTAACCACAGGAAGAATAAAGCTATAAGACGGGTTATGTAATATCTATCTTACTCGTAATATAGTTTGGTGAGGGTGAGTTCATTTGAATTTGTCATTGTTACTAGTTGTCAAAGTTTATTTTAGTTATTACTTTTCAAGTAAGTCTCCGGTGTTTCAGTGATAAGTTTAAGGACTTACATTGCAAAACTACGGGGTTGGATTCCCCGCATTAGATAGAGCGAAGATAGACCATTGTGTAGCTTTGCGCTCAAAATAATAATAACTGTTAAGCGTCTGTATTATACAACCTGGTTGTTTTCGAAGTAAATTCAAACCTGACATCAGTATACTTATTGAAATAAATAAAGAAGTTAATACGGAAGGTTAATCGTAGTTTACAAGAACAATTTGCATATTATAATACACGAACTTGACTTTACATATTTAGCACCAGAATATTTTTTAGGTGAGTTCACAAGCATTCGATAGAGCAATGCCGATAGCTTAACAATCATATATATATATATATCACAACCCTTTCCGGGGAATAATATATATATATATACATAGGTGGCAGTACAGGGATACTATAATTTTGATCCAGTAGCGAAATGCCTCTTTAAATAGAGGCAAATCATGGCGTAACCCCCCCCCTCTTCCAAATTTAAACAGTCTATCTTAAAGATATGCAAAGTTTAGGACGTACCAGGCGCTATGTACAATGCAGCGATAGCATTTATAAGGAAATATTGGCACACCCACTTGGGGATGAAAAACCTCCTAAACAGCACTCCACAATAATCGTGATCACCTACACGACTGCCAAATGTTCCGATCAGCTGTGCACATTATACTTACAAAGATTTGTTATTTTAAAGCTGGTCTCCAAACATAAACTTGAACAAATAAAACAAAAAATAGCGATTTTCTACTAACTACCCAATTATGAAATCATAAAGACTCTCCAAAAAGGTGTAGTGAACGTAAAAAAAAAAAAGATTTTTCTTCAGGCTCTGTGATTACTGAAATATTTTGACAAAGAAATTAAAAGTGATATCTTAGTTACTGTTAGAAGAAAGAACTAAAATTAATTATGTTTTGAAAACTTCCTACACTATATCGCTGCTTTTCTATAGACCATGTAGAATAAAACCGGCATTTATACTATCCGACATACCTGAGTAGTCAACTGACTGTGCAGCCATGAACATTTTTGTGGCGTCATGTGAATTAATAATGAAAATATAGAACATTTTTGAATAAATAGAAATTCAAAGCCAGAAATATAGGAAAGTATAGAAGGTACATCTATATGCATTTTAAACATCATCTCTCACTTTTGATTTTAATTAATAAAATTAACACTTTTATCTTTACAACCTTAAATAATGACTAGGTGTATTCATAAAAATAAAAAATTAATAATAGAAAAACAATGAATATAATATCGAAGAGTAAGTCCATTTTTAAACTGATATACTAAACTTAGATAATGGATGGTTATATCACAACCATCGTAAACAATGCCTGAATGTGATAAAACATTCAGAATAAATAAAGTGAATGTTTCATTTAAAAAGATACACATAACACTTTATCTACACCATCTTGAACAATGCTTAGATGTGTGAAACTGTTTCAATAGACAAAGATGTAACAATAGAAATAAACTGATAGTGGCGCTGAAAAATAGTTCTTTTGGAGACTTGATATACTAAACTTACATAATGGATAGTTATATTGTAATAATCTCATACAATGAATGCAGTAAAGATTGTCTATAATAGTCACAAGCAAATCAATGGCTGTCACATCATGAATAAATATTTCTGGGACTATAGAAAAGATACCTAATGTGGATTTACTTTCTTGAAATTGGATGATTGATTGGATAACAGTTTCCTTTTAGATGATGAGCTAGACTCTGCATTTCCTTCATCCTTTGTTAAGGAAGAACTACATTTATTTTTCATTTTTCCTTCGTATAGACGATGCTTTACTACCACTGGCTGTTTTTCCCAGCTTCTTATCCAGTAGCTGTCCCTTTTGTTTTTTAACACTCCTTTAACTTTCACATATTTTGTTCATTTTTTTCTTAAGCTTTCTGTCTTTGCTGTGGTTGTAGTTATCATCATCTGTGCCACACCCACTCCTTTCATATTATTGTTTTCTACTGCTTATTTTGGCTTGCCATTTCCATCTTTAAACAATTCTTCTATACAGATTAATTAACTTCTTTGAATTTTAGTTTCCTTCCTCAACAATTCTTTCTCTTTCTCAGAAGTGAACAATGTTTGGTCTTATTTTTTATAACCTCTTTGCTTTCTCTTTTCTATCTCTATTTTTCGGCATTTTCTTCCTCCAGTCTTTGTTTATAGTTGCTATAAGCCATTTTAACAGATCTTAACACTTCACATTGAGTGGAACTTTATGGGGTTGAAGCCTGTTAGGGTCTAAAAACTGCACCATGTCCTTTACAATTCTTACAGCAATCACAGTTTCCTTCTCAATGGCTATTGTCTTTGGAAACACATTTCTTTCTATGTCTCATTTCCATGGGGCAATACTAATTCTTTCTTGACAAGAAGAGGCAGAAATTTATATTTCAAATTTCCGTTATCAATTTTTTCAAGAAGACTTGCATCGAGAAATGATCCATCCTTTTCCTGTCTTCTAGATCATCTTCTGTTTGGTACACTTTCCACTCATCTGTAATTTTAGTTACAACATTCTTTTCAAACAACAACTGTCTAGATAAAACCTCTACATCTGCGACAGAACCTTGATCAAATTTTTTCATTGGAGACAAACAGGCTAGCAGATTGATGAACTTGTTTCGAAAAGGAAGCCTAGTGATCAGGTACTTTGATACTGTAGTATAGAATGAGTGTATTCCAAAAATTTATCAGTTGGGAACTCTTTGAGAATATTTTCAAATAGAGGGATAACTGATAACAGAAAGAACATTGGACTTTTATGTCGGGTTGCCTTATGGCTTTCCTTATCCCTTTGAAGTTGATACTCTTTGGTACTGTATTTGAATCGCTCTCTAATTTTCACACATATTTCTTTATCCCTGATCAATGCTCAATGATGCACTTTAAAGCTGGTCCAATACTCAGCCAACGAACTTGTGTGCTCTTTATAAAGACTTCCTCTGGAAGGTCAAGGTGTATTTGTATGTCTTTTTAATCCTCCCTTCTTCCAGACAAGATACTGAATGGTCCAGATAAATCTATCGCTAATTGTGATATTTCCTGACCAAATTATATTATGCCTTTGCTGAAGACATTGTGCATTGCATGAAGATACCAGGTATCTACATTAGCAAGACCATTCCATTCTGAGTCAGCAGCTTTGACTAGTTTGGAAACTTCTCTAAGGATTGTCTTGTTAATATCACAGGCCTGCCATGGTTTTATTGTCTTGAAATTTTTACATGTTCTACCGTAATTCCTGTACTCTGAATCCGAAAATGATATCAATTTTTCTCCATTACGTACATATCTTTCGCAAAACGTCATAACGTAATACATAAAACAAAGACCACAACACGTAGTTTTGAGACTACAAGACGTACATTTCAAACACACACAAAAATGACTTGTTGCGAATGTTGGCCTCTTTGATTCAAACAGTGTTTTTCACGATTTTTCTTGTGTCAGAATCGGCCATGTTGGGATTGCATAGCGGAGACTTGTTGCGAATGTTGACCTGTTTGATTCAAATAGTGTTTTTCACGATTTTTCTTGTGTCAGAATCGGCCATGTTGGGATTGCATGACTTGTTGCGAATGTTGACTTTTTTGATTCAAATAGTGTTTTTCACGATTTTTCTTGTGTCAGAATCGGCCATGTTGGGATTGCATCACAAGAAAAACCGTGAAAAACACTGTTTGAATCAAAGAGGCCAACATTCGCAACAAGTCATGCAATCTCAACATGGCCGATTTTGACACAAGAAAAATCGTGAAAAACACAAAAAAATCGAAAACTATCTATATATCATTGCTTGAGACCTGCAAGAAGGTATCTTTGTAACAAATCCAATGTTAACTTATCAAAATATGGCCGAGTAACTGATGACACCCCCCCCCCCCAAGTTTTTAAGTTTTTGTGAGCTCTGACCCCCTTAAAAAACTCAAAATGGGCAAACCCAACTTTTCAAAGTCACTGTGTTGGGCGCATAAAAATATATATTTGTGCCAATTTTCATCTTGATTGCTGTTAATGTGACTGCTCAGGAGCCCAAAATATACATTTTGTTGGTCAGTTTACCGTTGACTATAAAATCTTTAAAAAGGCCTAAATTCAAAAAAGGAAAAGGTGTCAGGGTGAAATTCAAAATACACATTAATAGTATAGAAGTAAGATACTATAATATATTAGTTCAATTAACACATAAGATTATAACTTACTTGTATATTGTATTACAACTTATTATGATGTTTCTCTGGAATGAACAGTAGCCTAAAAGTTTGTTAACTCTACAATTTCCGATGAGTTTTGTTGCCCAATTGGCTTTTTAAATACATTTTCTGAACTGTTTATGTACCTAATTGGTTTGTTTGTTATAGGAGTATTGTATAACGATGTGAAATATATCATTGTTCAATGATTTTTGTTTGTTTGTTTTGAATTTCGCGCAAAGCCACACGAGGGCTATCTGCGCTAGCCGTCCCTAATTTAGTAGTGTAAG